TATTTTAATTTGTTTTACCCGAACGACGTCGGGTGCTCTGCTAGTTATTATATAAAATTGATTATATGGAAGGTGTTTGTAAAGATTTATTTCCCAAATTACTAAACCGATTTTAATAATTATCTTTTAAAACTAAGCACTTTTGAAACAAAACGGAGTCGCTTACTTGTTTTTTTTTTGTGGTACATAAACACCCTTTTTTTGGGATGTAAAATTATAAAAAATTACAAGGACTTACAAGCATAAGCCTATTTGGTCGCCAAATACAGCGCGTTGCTACGCGAAAATTTTGTACATCAGTGGCGATCAAACGTGAGCTCACAAAGGCACGACGTGGTCATTTACAAACAGTTACGCCTTTTTTCATTTTTCACTGCTTAAACCTTTTTCATGTTGATTATCGAATAAACTGAGCGGGGGCAAATATTTGAATATGAAGTAGGTAAAATATATCAAAGAAACTCCGTTCGCAAAAGAAAACAAAACGGCTTACATTAATAAAAAACAGTTTTGTTTGTGGCTTATTTATTGGATCGTATAATACTGTTTTTGGTTTTCCGTTTTTACCACCATAAAACAATTAAAAAAGGGGGGGACAAAAAAATATGGCTTCATTTGATAATGACCCACTTACATATCAACTGCTTTTGCCATGCCGAAAGCGCTGTAAGCGCAACTATGTGCTTCGATTTTGCTGTTATGAAGCTTAATTCAGTACATACATATAATAAAATTGTAAGACATTATAGATATTAAAGAAAATTAATATGGGAGGTCTTTATTTAAGCAACGGAAGCCAAATCAACAGTTTTTAGAAATTTTGTGTGTCTGTCTGTTGTTACGTTTGCACGCGCATCAGCCAAAAACGAATGCTTGGAATTGAATGCACTTCTCACCGATGCATTGCTAGAGGTCCAACTTAAAGTATTGAAAATAATATTAAACAGGCCATTTTTGTTAAACTCAGTTAACCCTTTCCGGTCAAATCCGTCCCTGATGAATATAAAAATTGTTCCTCTTAATTACGAGGTTCATAGAGCCTCATAATACCAAAAGTAAAGAAAAAATATTCAAAAGTTGTTTTGGGTAGCTATTAGGGCTACCTCAAATTCGTGCAAAGGAATAAAGGTACTCAAGAAAACTCAATAAATATTTCACAAAGTTTGGCGGAATAAAACTTTTATTTCATTGAGAATGGACTTATTTATATACAAAATAATTGATTTTACTGCAGATATGTTGGAATGAATATTTTATGTCTTTCTAAGTATCTTTAGTTAAGACTAAGATTTGCATTAAAAAATTTTAAATTTTCTCCATGAGAAAAAAAATAAAATTACAATATAAAATACATATGACCCATTTTAACAAACCTTCCCGGTTTTTCTGCCTTCAGTAGATCAAGAAATCAAAAATCTACCCTTTACTGTAACAACTGCGCACAAGCTCTTCAAAAACCACGGCAAAAACCACCCCAATTGCCTGTTCAACTGCAACCTTTGCGGACGTTTGTACAATATATTGTACAAGCCACTTACAACCTTCCAGTGTAAATGTTATTGTACTTTTTTTTTTGACCACTCTGGAAAAATACTTTAAATCATGATAGTTTAATTTTAGCATTTTTATATGATGAAATGCTTTTTATATTTCCATACTATGTGCTTTAATTAGTGATTTTACTTGACATTCACGTATTTTTTGTACAGTAAATTACCACAACTTGCGTGTTACAGGAATTTTATAAAATGGTCTATTTTTAAATTAAATCCTAAAAAAAATTTGAAAAGCTTTTGATTTTGAAATTTACGTAAACTATTCGGGACATTCAAAAACTTCATAAAGTTCAATTTGTTTTCAAAAATATTAACAAGATTATTAGTAGCACGCTTCCACTGTTACAAAAAATTAAATGTACAATATATTGTACAAATGCAGGGAAATGGTTAAAGCAAATTGATAAGATAAAGTAAATGTTGAAGAATGGCTGTGAAAAGAAAGAGGTTAAAGAAAGCCTAGTGTTAAAGCCGACGTGCAATACCAAAACAAAAGCGGCAACGCTACGTCAAATGAAGAAATAACTCCAAGAAAAAGCATAGGTTTGTTTGTGTGAACCAAGAAAATGACAGTGTCGCCGTTTTCTGCAGCCAACTTCACTTCCTAACGCGCTGTCAAAGTCGGTAGAACACCAGAGAATACTGACGCTTTTGTTTAGGGGTGGATGTTAAAGCCGAAAATATTTTTTGGAAGGTTGACACCTGTTTGGAGATTTTAATTTAATTTAATTATTAAATACTAGCAATTATCCTTCGCGCTTCGCTGCGTTTTAAATGTATTTTTGTGTTGTAACTATCTCCCAAAACTCGTATGGCCTCATTTATAAATTATTTATCCTGGAAATTTAATTCATAATCTTATAACTGGAGTCTACTATCGTACCCTTACCTCAAACATGTCTTAATTCAGTATTTAAATACCGTATATTTATCTAATTTGAAAAAAATCCTCAAATGTTGTGAGAGAGACTAACAAAACAAAAATACTTTTAAGGTGCATCGATGTACGCCGGCTATTTGCTAGTATGTATATATTTATATAACTAAGTACTACTTGGCTGAGCTCCTTCGATTTTTCGCTGTGCATGTTGTCAAATGGAGGAACCTCAAGTTCTACGTCGCTTCGGTTTTCGTTGCAGAAATAAGTTCGGTGGTTGTTGGGCCATGAATCGGGCGGTGATAACACCCTAGTTGCTTTTCAAAATCTAATTTTTCAAACAGTTTTATACACTACGTCTTTCTTTTGTATAAGATATTGCGTGTAAAGGAGGCCTAAAAGTGTTTAGTTTATAAACACTAGGGAAGGTAATTTTTTGCTTTTTACGATCCCGGAATTTTTGAGATCTCGTTATCACAATCCCGGGATCCCGGGATTAGTCCCGGGATTTAGATTATTATTATTTTTCAACAACTTCAATCGAAAAAATTTCTTTAATATTGTTTGAGAAGCTCCCCTACCATAAAATAAAGGTTTGAAACCTACTTTTTTATTTAAGGTAAAAATTATTTCAGAAGTAACAAAACGGACAGTAATTAAATTTATACGCATTTAATAATACTTTACCGTGTACATATCTGACAAAGTAACTTAAGGTATGTCTGACAAAGCTCGATGCCAAAAAATGTAGGTCAACAAATATATTTTGTGGTTGACAGAATTTCATAATACTACCCAGCAAAAAACACGATTACCACAGAAAAGTGGAAACGAGCTAGGCGTTATTTTAACATGGGCATGCCATTGGCGGTAAGCCCTTACCCGCAGCATTACCTTCAAACGAAGGGAGAACGCATGGATAAACAGAATCCAGAGAAGCGAACAAAGAATGGCTTACAGAGAAACTAATGTAGAATACCTAGATAAATACATACTTATTTATATTAAAGTGAAATCAGAAAATGATTTAAAAGAATAAAATTAATTAAAATTTTTATAAATCAATTTTTATACATACATATGTGTGTATTTAGGTATTTAGATTTTACTTAAAAATCGGTATGTACATACATGCATATTTAATTAATCTTAAAATTGTACTTCCTCACTCTTGTACTTCACTTCCTTGACTGACTTCAACTTCGCTAAAAATTTAAAAAAGCAAAACATGATTTTTATGCGAGACAAATTTCCACAGAAAGTAACGGTAGAAAAGGAATTTTTGGATATTCATTCTATTTTTCAGCTGACTACGATGCAGCTTTCTACTTTGCATTCCCTGAAATGAAGCAAAGAAGCGAAAAAAATAAAATATTGTAAGACATTCTACTTTGCAATCGCTGAAATGAAGCAAAGAAGCGAAACAAATAAAATATTGTAGAACATTCTACTTTCCATTCCCCGAAATGAAGCAAAGAAGCGAATTAAAAAAGAAATATTATAGGACATTCTACTTTGCATTACCGGCAATGCCTAAAAGAAGCGAAAAAATTCCAAGGCATTATAACGGTATGCCTTCTAAAATACTTTACCACTAAAAGCGACTACCGATTTTTTGCTGGGTAGTGGCAGAAGTAAACGAAACTCCTTTCGAACAGTTTTGTCTATATTTCTTTTGTTTATTTAATGTTTAAAATTTGTGTATAAATATCTTCTTCATTATATCACACGTTTAATAACATAACGAAATATTTCAAAATTTAAATTTTTTGGGAAAATGCAATCAAAGTTTTATCAATTCATACAGTTTGTATACAAAAAGATAGATGGAAAGACATATATCCTCATCATATATGGCAAGTATGGTTTTGGATTAAACTGAACATAGTCTACTTATCAAGCTTATTATATGCATAATGAAATCTCCAAAAACGTAAGCTTTGAGTTACATCTCTAAATGATTGTTAAATTGGTTCATAAGATATACGTGATTAAGTGGAACCACTTTTTGTTTTAAGCTGAATAACGGTAAATTGCAAATATCTCAAACGCGTATCCATAGCAAAAATAAATAAACTCGATTTTCGGGATCACGGAGCAATTCTAAATAGAAATTGGATATTGGCGCCTGGAGAACAAAAACCAAACTAAAATTTGTATTATTAAATAAAGAAAGAAATATAGCCAATAGTGGCCAAGAAAGGGAGTTCTATTATTGCCATTAGTGCAAATTACAAATCCTAAAAATTCCGGTATTATTTTCCANAACCAAACTAAAATTTGTATTATTAAATAAAGAAAGAAATATAGCCAATACTGGCCAAGAAAGGGAGTTCTATTATTGCCATTAGATCCCCGGATTAGAATCCCGGGATTTTCGGGACCTAAAAAAGGTTGGGATCCCGGGACTAATATCCTTATCCTTATAAACACATATTAAAATAAGTATAGTAAGTGCATATGTACTTCCAACCATTACGCTTATTGGAATAAATTTACTTTAAGATATTTTCGAAAACTTAACGAAAATGTTTTTTTATGTATTTTTACCACATTTCCATTTATAGATTGTGGGTATTCTAACGAGGAAATCAGAATTGTTGGTGGAAAACCAACAGGTGTAAATCAGTTCCCCTGGATGGCACGCATAGTGTACGATGGAAAATTTCATTGCGGTGGATCATTGCTTACCAAGGACTATGTCTTAACTGCCGCGCATTGTGTTAAAAAGCTTCGAAAGTCTAAAATAAGAATTATTTTTGGCGATCATGATCAACACATTACTTCAGAATCAAATGCAATTCAGAGGGCTGTAATTGCTATAATTAAGCACAGAAACTTCGACCCTGATAGCTACAATAATGATATAGCGTTGCTAAAATTGCGAAAACCTATGATGTTTTCAAAAATTATAAAACCTGTTTGCCTACCACGTTATAATTATAACCCAGCAGGTACGTAAATAAAATTATAATACCCTTGTGCACAAGTGCGCTCGGGTATAAAAACAACATAAGTATTATATGCACACGTTGGATTCATCTGTACCGATTTAAAGTCAGCTTGTCACATTCATTTTAGATTATTGAAAGATTAAATTAAAATATTCTATTTCCCCACCTATGTCGTCACTAGACTTGAATAAAGGCGCTGGTATTTTGACGGCCAAAAAGACGCGTAAAAAGTCTTACGACAAATTACGCTTAAGAGAACCGGCGAAGGAAGATGCATAACCTAGTTGACGGTGCAGAAAGTCGCATAAACATAAATTAATACCTTTCAACGGACTGTTACTTCAGCATTACTCCGCAAAAACTCTTTGGCGAATTTACATACTGTTATACCCGCAAACATAGTTGACGCTGAAAATTACTACGCTTCTTTATCCCCGCCAAGCAGTAAAGTTGCCTTTACTAACAGGGCAGATAAATTGTTCCTCACGTTAAAGTGTTTTCGTTTTCTTATCTTACCGGTAAAAAATAAATTTGTTATTCCGTAGAGTTAAACTTCACTATATTTCCGAGAGTGAAACTTCACTACATTCGTCATAAAATTTCAAAGGTTGGCAATGCAACATAAGCAAATATAGAGCAAGAGCAACTGTTAGCAAAACCCAAAACCTTGGTTGAAATATCTAATATATCTTATAGACTCATGAACCACAACCAAACCAAAATTTAAAATTGGGTATACATTTTTAAAGGTTGTATCGNAGCAACTGTTAGCAAAACCCAAAACCTTGGTTGAAATATCTAATATATCTCATAGACTCATGAACCACAACCAAACCAAAATTTAAAATTGGGTATACATTTTTAAAGGTTGTATCTGGTGAGCAACAATTTATCCATTCGAGAAATTAGTGCGCTGATGAGAAAACGAAAACTCGTATATGGAGACGATAAATTGGCCGGTAATATAAAGGTTAGATAAGAAAACGGCCCTGAGGAGTCTTTCGTCGCCGTCAACTATCTTAAAAGTCTTTCTTCGCTGAATTTTTTTACGTCTTTTCTCGCAGTCAACTGTTAAGCTCGCGCCTTTAATCGTGTCCAGTGACGATATATGTATATAAACATGGATTGTGCTTTGTTCGGATGCTTAAAACTTGAAAACGACTGAACCAAATTGGATAAGTCCTTCTGTTCGCAAGTGCTACCAAAAAGTTTAGGAAGAAAGAAATTTAGAGAGTTGCCAACTGTTTTAAAATTTAAGTATAAGTAAATTGATATAATAAATGCAATATTACAATATGGGTGCCAAAACAAAGAGGTTTGATAGGGCTCACCGTCGAAAATATTTTTAGAGAAACCCTCCAAATATAGATGAATGGAATTTTTTACGATAACAAGAACGGACACCGGGTTTTCACCTTTCATAATCAAAAAAATTATTAACTTCACTTGTGATGCACTGTTAATGAAAACAAAATATATGAAACAAACAAACTACTTAAGGGCCATTTACATAAGACTTTCCTCGCTTTGCTTGACAGTTCAAACTTTGACAACAAAGCGTGAAACGCAGAAGGTATGCTACAATAAACGCTTTGACAACTTTTGCCTTCTCCTTTTCCTCCATATTTTTTATCATTAAAATAGATAACAATATAATAATATGCATTAATAATAGCAATACAAATTCCTATTTAACCTAATTTTGTCATTAAATGCAAATGCAAGCGCACGATAAAAGATACATGTAGACAGCTGATTGCCAAAGGGGGCAAAAGTTGAGAGTTGCCCAAGATTTTTCTTCGTTTTGCTTTGCTTTGCTTCAAACGTTTTTTATGTGAGCATACTCATGCATATGTCTACATCGATATTATATGTCAAAGCAAAGAACTATCAAGCAAAGCGAAGAAAGTTGTATGTGAATCAGCCTTTAAACTCACATCTATGCACAACAACATTCCGGCAGTGTTAAACTACAGTGTAGTGTAGTGACTACACAAATCACTCAATACTTCTAAAGGGGTAATTAAATGCAATGATTTATGTGAAATTAGGGAAGCAGTAATTCTTGAAGAGTTAAACCGCAAAACATTATTGAAGTGAAAGAAATGCTAAAAAACAATAAAACGAACTAAAAGAAACCGGACTTATTATTATTACATACTTTCGAATCGCAAATACTTCCAGAAACTCAAAAAATTGGATACGGAAGGGTAAAAATGCGCCCCTATATTCCACTACCATTTAGATGCAACACTTGTCTTGGTTTTGGACACGTAAGAAAAATATGCAACCGAAATTAACTATGTAGAATTTGTGCACGAATTTTTCACCTTGATCCCGAATCTAAAGAATTATATACTGTCAAACCAACTTGCGTAAACTGCGCACATAGCCTTCAAGACGATACAAATCACCCATCTACAAGCAAAATTTGCCCTATATTAATTAAAGAAGTCGAAATCCGGCACACTCAATTCATAAAAGCAGACATCCTGCCAACGATTCATTGTACTCTAATGTAGCCAAATTTTAATCCATTTGAAAGAAAAGAAACAGTAAAATAAATTCATCGAATACAATCCAACATAATACGACAAGTATATCGTACGATGACCTTGCTATGACCACAATTGGCGAAGACAATGCACCTCCTCTACATCAACCACTACTTTCTCAGTCACCAAAACCATACCACAAAGCTCAGCTGCTAAAAGAACTAAAATACTTTCCAGAAATTCCTAAAACAGAACAATATCAAAACGAAAAGCAAAAACTAGGGATGTGCCGGATATCCGGTAGATATCCGGAATTGGGCCTATCCGTCCGTTTTTCTGCTATCCAACTATACTAGCTAGAATCCGGCCGAATTTCCGGAGTTTTATCTATATAAAAGTCTAGTTCCGATTTTTTTTTGTATTTTTATAAGCCAGTTTATTGTTAGATGCCATTAGTAACTAAAGTAAACAATTTTAATATTTTTAATTATGAATAGAAGCATTTACGAATTATCGGGCAAAAGTCTGTTTCTATTTTCAACATAAATGCTACCCGATACACTAAACTCACTTTCTGGGTTCACAGAGGAAGGTGGTGCGCAGAGATACTTCATTGCCAGTACTTATAAACAAATTTCGACATTCTTTGAGATTACGTTTCCACCAAATTAAATGATATTCTCGTCTGGGTGTAATGAAGCTGAAAATATTTCTCCATTTTTAAATCGCTGTCTTTTTTCTTGTACGGTCGCTATCTTGTGTACCCATCGTTTGCTTATCAACATCACTACAAAAACTAGAGTCACATCAGAGCCGTTGGCGATTTCCTCGTGGCGTGCGCTTTGATGTGGGGAGGGCTACAGTTTTACGTCGACGGTGATTGTATTTTTATGAGAAGCAGGTTTTTATGGCAGAAATACACTCGGAGGTTTGCCATTGCCTGCCGAGGGGCGATCTCTGTTAAGAAAAAACCTTTTTTCTATATTTTTTGCAACGTGGCTTTTGACAAGGGCTTGACTTTAGGCCCGGCGGAGTGGAAGCACGATTCCTCAAGCATTGCCAAATATCCTGGTGAGCTCCCTCTTCGGAAGAAGCGTTACCCAGTTTTAGCTGTATTTACTCACTTTTTTTAATAATCCAACTTTCTTCTTTGACATTTCTCCTCTATTTACCAAAAATAACAAAGGCTTGCAATATTTAAATTTTGTTTCCTCCTTCCAATAATTATGTTATTTTTTGAATATCTAGGAATGTTAAATTAGAATACATCTTTGGTATTTTTCTAGCACGTCGAGATTTTTTTATTGATGACATATATAGTTTAGGATTTTTAGCAATTTGCATGAAAAGATAAAAATTAATTAAGTTAGAATAGAATTTTTACGTAAAACCCAATAGCGTTAATTTAAAATACCCATAGATAATATTTTTAAACCAGAAAAACTTTAATAATTTCGAAGTTAACGCTAAGAAAATAACTTTTATCAGTTTTCTTAGCGTNTTTTACGTAAAACCCAATAGCGTTAATTTAAAATACCCATAGATAATATTATTAAATCAGAAAAACTTTAATAATTTCGAAGTTAACGCTAAGAAAATAACTTTTATCAGTTTTCTTAGCGTAATTTCGGAATTACATAAGTTTTTCTAATTTACTTAGTCTATTTATGAGAGTTTCTAACTAACAATGTGGGTTTTTAAGTTAGAATGTCTACTCTAACTTTTTTAAATATTTGGCTTTTCATGCAAATTGCTAAAAATCATGCAATAAAAAAATTTCGACGTGCTAGAAAAAATCCAAATATAATGGAATAGAATGGAATGTAATTGTGGGTGGCCGGAAAAACCAAAAACAAATTTTTCCAAGCACTCAAGCAGTATTGTTCATTGTACTTAAGACCAAGAAACAGGATTTAGAGGAAAGGGATATGTAGGTGGGGGGTGGGAAAGCATTACTCCTCTGCAAACTTACCAGACTCCTTTATGAATTTTAGCAATTTGTTGAGGGAAAGAGAACGTACGTCGTCCATTCTCAGTATATCCGACCCAAAAATATACCATCTGAGTCTGGCGAAGGCCAGACAGCGGCAAAGAAAATGTTCTGTACTATTCCCGTCCTCCAAACACGATGTACACAGTGGATCGTCGATGATGCCTATGGTGACCATATGTCGTCCCCATAGATTTTGCCCCGTAAGCAGTCCTATCAGGGCTCGTAGATCACTCTTTCTTTGTCTGAGAAGAAATTTGGCTACCACCCTGTCAGGCCTTTTCAGGAACACTTGGTTATTTTGCAGGTGTCAATAGTGGACCAACGGCTCTCATAAGTTTTGCTTATGAGATCCTTGATGCACCTGGTGGTGTTGGACAAGGGGCATCCGGACGGCCACATTACCACGGACAACTGGAAGTCCGTCCTGATGGGTTTATGCAGGGTATATAAAGGGATATTCCAGAAGTTCCCCGGCCCTGCACCAGTCGTCCGTGATGCTGGATGGCGGCTCT